GTTTGGGGTATGTGGGGGGGGTGGGGGGGGGGGGGGAGAAAAAAATGTGTGGGTTTTTCAAAAATTAAAAAAGGGGTCAGGATGCTGTGCTTGGTCCTGCCATGAGGGCAGAGGAGTGGACTTGATGATCTCTTGAGCTCCCTTCCAGTTCTAGCAGTCGACGGATTCTATGATATTTCATTCCAAGTTAATTTCAGGACCTATCTATGCAGCTTCCAAATCAGAAGGCGGCAAGAAAAACCCACCATCTGACAACATAGAATTTATTCCACGCGCCTCAGTAACACCTGTAAGAGAAGCCAGGCGCTGCCCTAAAGAACTTACTGCAGCAAACGGTGAGTGAACAGGCGGGTACACGTGGTTTGAGGCAGGGGCCTGTGAACACTCAGGACTGGGATAAGCAGCAGCAGATCCATGTATCTGGCTTTTGGTGTATTGGTCACCATCACCTCCACTCAAGGCTATGGAAAGAGAACTGAAAGGGCCGATCTCTTGTCTCTTCATAGGCAGAAGGGAATCTTGCTAGTTTCTCCTGTTGCCATGTTGGCTGGGCGGAGTCAAGACGATGGAAACCCCTGGATGTGACCATAAAGCAAGTGGCTCTGAATTACAGCAGAAATGGCTCTGGGTCCCAAAGGATCCTCAGAATCACTTTTCTGAGCCCAACTGAGGCCTTGTCCACACTAACCCCATCTCCCGCCGCCCATCAAAGCTACACAACTTCAATGTATTTACCGCGGTGTCTTCTCCGTGGAGGCTGCTCTCCCATCGACTCCGCCCACTTTTATCCTGCTGGAGTCACGGGAGAGCTCTCGGGGATCGATTTATCGTGTCTCTGCAGACATGATAAATTGACTGCCTGGGGACTGATCCACCTGGCCTGAAACCAAGCCCTAACGCTGAAGAGGATGCAGAGAGAAGGGGTGGAGAGAAGGTAGGAACAATCCGTACAGAGCCTTCTTTGGGCATAATCCGCGCAGAGCTCTCACAGCGGCAATCCCAGCCTGCAATGCAGGGACGAGCCACCAATTTTAAGGTTGCCAAGAACTTTTCCACTTGTCCCCCTGTGCAGGGTGCTGCTGCACCCGAAAGGATACAGTGACGTGGCTGCAGGCTAATTCTCCCCTCTATCTAATGAAAGGCATAAGGAGATTTCTGACAGTTTTTGAGCTTGACCAGAATCCAGATTTTCGCCAGGTAACCCAGCAGAGGTGGGGGACCAGGAAAACGTCAGTGTCAATCAAATTCTTCAAGGCTGACAGAACAAAATGTTTCTGTCTCCAGCTCAGCCCAGAGGCGC